AGACTGTAGACCCAGGACTGAGGCTGTAGATCCAGGACTGAGGCTGTAGATCCAGGACTGAGGCTGTAGATCCAGGACTGAGGCTGTAGATCCAGGACTGAGGCTGTAGATCCAGGACTGAGACTGTAGATCCAGGACTGAAGCTGTAGATCCAGGACTGAAGCTGTAGATCCAGGACTGAGGGGGCTTCCAGGCGGGGAGGACGATGTAGACCACGAGTAAAGGCCGACGGGAGACTAGTCTGATTCAGGAATATCATCATCAGTGGTCATACTTGCAGCTGAAAGGCAGGTCCTGTCTGACCTCTGAAACTGTGCAATGCAGGGCCTGGTTAGTGCTGTGATGGGAGACCTCTGGGAACACCAGGTGCCACAGTGGGGGCGGCTGCGGCTGTACAGTACCAGTGTCTTGTGGGAGGGGCTAATGGCACATACTAGTGGCCTTGCTTTTGTCAGTGTGCCCCAGGGCAGCTGTGGCTACAGTAGTAGTTTATCATCACTGTGTTTGGAGTCAAAGAATAATGACATGTGAAGAGTCTTTGAGCATTCCAAAGCGCTGTACAAAACCAATGCATTATTATTATCATCAAGCCATGAAACAGACATTAGGACAGCAAGTGAATAGCAATGAACAGACTACAGCTGAAGACACAATGATGACAGATAAAGGAGGAGAGAAGATAATGCTCAGGTTCCTGTACGTCTCCAGCAAAGTGTCCCCAATTGCAGATGAACGGCAATCTATGTTTTTTGACTTTGCATTACTATATCTTTCCCATTCTTTGGTTCCATTGATTGAATAGAATTTCAAATGACCCCCCTTCTAAAATCAGAGCAACATCCTTACACAGGAAGCATTGGCATCAGTCTTTGAGCATAAATGGAGTGGAACGGCCATCACAAGGACTGGATTGACTTTCATATGGACTTTTAAATGATGCATAAAGTCCATTAAAACATATTTGATTCCTTCATCTTGTCTGATGATCTGTCCGTCCCCATCCACACAACACAAAAGGAATAATCTAAGTTCAGTTTTTTTATTCATTCCAATGTTTAACTCATTGACTCCACCGTTTTTGATGATTTCACTGATTGTAAAGCCCACAGAATGTTATGGCTATGACTAATATGGAATTTTTGAACCATATTCTTTCATTCAGCAATAATAATTTGTTTCTAGAAAAATAAATGTCTCCCTTAATCCCCAGTCAAATAGAGGAATTTCTCTGGAAATTCCGTCAATTGCAGTCAATGAGTTAATGGCTTCATAAATGTATGTTGATGATATTATAAGTGTGAGAGAGATTCTGTGTCGCACTAATCTCTCTTGTGATCCATAATGTTTGTATGTAGTTTGTTTATGACGCTACGCCGTTGGAACGTCAACAACAGGAAACACTTAAAAGATATTGAGTTGGATTCTGTTTGATCCATGCATAAGTCACCCAGTAAGGTATAGAGCAGGTGTCCTCCTACCTTTGTCATCCAGAGACTACTTTCCTGGGACGATAAAGGCAGAGAGCTACTCTTTTAAGCAAAAAATTGTGATGATATATTGGTGTGAAAGACCTGATAATGGGTACAAACATTAAAATCTACCACCCTTTTTCCACCCACCAACTATTTTAACGTACAACCCTCAAACGATATTCAACCCACTGAATCTTGCAACAAACTTTTCAACACGTCCCCGACTTTCCTAGAACTTTTTTTTCGGTACAGATTTGTTCCGTACATTTCCCAGCCCCATCGCCGAGGACTAGCAAACATCCCGCTCCCATTCATCTCGTCCCACCTCTCCCCCCTGACACTTCCCTCTTACCATTTGCTCTCATATAGTAGACGCTGCGCAGTGTTTGAGTGGGTGCAGCCCGTCCGAACGTCGCAAAGCTGGAAATAGATGGACCCAACGGAGCGATATTTCACTGGCAAGGCTTGACGTTGATAGGGATGGCGGATCATTAGACATTTGCCAGTTTGCTTGCCGAGGATTATTTTCAGATATATGTATGGGAGGGAGCTGGAGATGGACAAGTTAAAGAAGATTTTCAAAGTAGGAAAAGTCAGATTTGGCACAAGTTTGGGTGGTCTCAATGCCATTTATCTATGCATGACTATAGATTGCATTGAGACCCACCTCAGAAATTAAGCAATATCATACAATAGGACGTTTGGGATTGTCAAGTGACTCTTATAGTGGACACATGGGAAAAAGTAAGCATGCTTATCCCAACTCAATGTTTTAACAACGTTGGGCCTCATCAGTCACGGACCTGGATTGGTTTCAGATCGAACCATGCGAGATCACTTCCGTCTAAAACATTCAACTCTACCCCGATCTCTCCAAAACTCCCATCTCAGTCCTGTACCAATACGATACAATAACATTATTCTAATTTGAACTCTTTCCTCTGGTGGTAGCATTTTTTACCCTTTATACTTTCTCACCTGTTATTATATACTTAAGCAATTATTTCAATGTATTTCGTTCCATTTCATGATGTAATCAATCTTATAGTCTCATAATCATATTGGATAGGCCTTGAATAATGCATAATATTTCTGTATTTAAATAAACAAAGCACAGGGCTGAGTGGATTAGCACACGTACGCCGACTCAGCGAAGATGGTCCTGGGTTCGAATCCCGGTCGGAACGGGTATCTGTCTGGAGTGCGGTGTGCATGTTCTCCCCGTTCGCACCTAGCTTTTCTCCGAGTGACTCCGGTTTTCCCTCTACCACTAAAAACATGCTCACGAGGTAAAATCCGCACAGCTCTGGGTCTGACCCAAGAGCAACAACATCTAGGGCGATAAGTTTCCCCCGGCGCTGTTACGGCAACCACTGCTACCTGAGGTCCATCAGGATGGGCACAATGCAGCAGGATGAATTGCCCTTTATCGGCGATCAATAAAGTGCAACCTTTATTTTAACCTTCAACCTTTACAATCAGTTTCAGATTCAAATGTCTAGTAGTCTGTAATTATCTGTTTGTGTTGAGATAGAATTGGAAGCGACTTTTTATTTATGTAATTCAACCATTATTAATTCGTATTGATCTATCGTCTGACAGTAAATACAAATCAAAAAAGCGCAAATTCAATTTATTTTTGTATAGCCACTAAATCACCAGGCAATAGTTGTGTATCTCTGGAGGACGTTACATAGATGTTTATTTTGCCGAACAGCAGTAACAGAGACTCAAAAAAGTTGCAAACACAAGTCTGATTTGGTGATCCTGGGTGATGACTTCTTCGCTCCAACGCCCGTTTCAATCCCTCGCCTGTGTTTTGTTTTTCCTGGTTCCTATGAAAATTACGTTTGCAGGTATATGAAATAGATAGTTAAATTCAGTCATTCACAACAGAGATTGGGCGGTACAGAGGCAGAAACCCAATGTCGCACATAAAGTGGAAAAAGTCCATAACTGTCGCTCGAATCTCAAGTGGCCTGGACCCTCACATAGACCCTAACTGTATCGGCAAAGACCAACTCTAAAATTATGAAGGTTTAATGGAGGATTAGCTGAACGATTGGGCTTCTGTCTTGATTACCCTAAATCAATGCAAGACATTCAAGCAGCAAGAGAAAAAATGCAACGAATTTTTGGACACTGCATTTTGTAAACATTGGAATTTTTTTATACTGAATATTTTAAAACATTGAATTTTATATTACTGAAATTTTAAACAATGCATTTTTTGACACTGATATTTAAAACACTGAATATTTTTTGTTACAATTATTGAATTCAAAAGCGAAAAAAAGTGATTGATAATACAAACACAAACACACCTTCATACTAAAAAACTCCAGTGGATAGAATGAGAAAACCTCGGGGAGAACCACGCAGAGAGAGGTAACCGCTCAATTCATGGCTAAAACAGTCTTGTTTTGAAATAGCTTTACATGACAGATGTGTAGATGAGGCTAATTACCATGATTAAAACACCCTTGTTTGTTTCAGTCGCTGGATTATTATAATTAACCAAGACAACAGAGAGATACAGGATAATGAAATGTGGGCGTTTCCTGTAACACTGTCCTTTTCTTGTTTAAACCCAGAGCATTGTGAAGACATGACGTCGTGTGTTCATCCATCACTCCACAGTCATATCATCTGTTAGTTTTTGTTAAATCCACCTTTGATGAAGATACTATGGAAAGTCCTGAAAGAACGCCAAATTAGACAAACAGTCGTGTAATGTTTTAGCGCTGTGTTAGAGATTAATTGTGTTTCTGCTGGCAGCATAACGATCACAGATTTTTTAGCCACATTTGTTCCGAAAGCCAATTCACCTCTTATGGATTTCTGCAATAAAGTAAATCAATTATGTTCAGAATGTTCAAGTTATTATCAAAAAATCAAAGAATATAAGCATTTTTCAACAATAATTTTTTATTGAATGATTGTTTTTTTTCTTCCTTGAATAAATATACAAGTTTTTCTCATCAACTGAAATAGTTTACATTATTCATGTGTTTTTTATGAGCAAAGTCTAACTGCATTCCCACGATAATAACAGTCCCCTGGAGATCATTGAAAATCTGCTTTAAATACGTCAAACTAGAATCTACAGTAATACAAGAAAACAAAAAAGTCCTCTCTCTCTCATGTCCTCACTCCCGGATACCGTCTCTCTCTCTCTGTGTTCCTCAGATGTCTCTCTCTCTCTCTCTCCTCTGTGTCCCTCAGAATGAGTCTCTCTCTCTATCTCTCACTCTCATCTGTGTCCCTCAGATGACTCTCTCTCGTCTCTCTCTACTCAGGCATGGTAACACCCATCTCTCACTCTCCGTCCTTATCTACTCCCTCACTTATATCCCCCTCTCTCTCCGTCTCACCATTCTTACCCGACTATCTCATCCACACCGTTCCTCAAATGTCTCATCGTCTCACCTCAGTCTCCGTATCCTCATACATCTCACTTATCCTATCTCTCCCTCTGGTCCTCAAATGTCTCACCCGGCACCCCCTCTCGTCTCACACTGTCCTCAAATGTCTCACCAGTTTCACCTGTCTTACCCGTCCTTCTCTCTCTCTCGTACCTCAGATGTCTCATCCGTCTCTCTCTCTGTCCTCAGATGTCTCCCCGTCTCCCCCCTCTCCTCCTCTGTCCTCATGATGTCCCCTCCTGATCGTGGTGATGGGGGGGCGGTTTTACCCGAAGGCAAAAGGGAGCCCCTGAACCTGGACGAGAGCGAACAAACCGCAGAACATCGTCCGCTACACGCGAGGCGCGGCGAGGAGGACACCGTAGGGGGGGGGGGGGCTGTCGACATGGTCACCCTACCGCACCCTTCAACGCATGAGGACCCCCAAGCGTCCGCACGCTACGTCACCCCGGACACCCCACCTTCTCACTACCCACCGCCCCCCGTCCGCCTACAAAACCCTCCCGGACAACGTGGTCTACCGGAGTTTCATCTGGGACCGCTCAAAGACGCCGACGTGTGACGCCTCGCTCCGCCGTACGATTTCGCTGCAGACGTACTCGTTAGAAGGCAACGGTTTCGGTGGCGGAATCGCTGAGGTTCGTTGAATCTTTGAGCACAGACTCGGACCCAGAACTATGACATCTCAGCAACTGTGACCGCGCTCAAAACTAGCCCGACCTTTACGTCACACGTAGGGAGTGGGGATTTTCTCGTAGCGCCGTCGCTATCTTTTCTATTTCTCCTCGGACTCCTCGGTCAAAGAACAAACACACATAATTGATTGTCCGAAACCGAAAACGTTACGTCTTCCTTGGACATGCGGGGATATTCCAAGACAACACAAGAATTGAAAGGAAGGACTCGGACTTCAAAAGCTTGTGGGTTTGTTTACCTTCCCCTAATGGAATTTTCCTCAAAGTGTTGCCATGGCGAGTTTTGACACAGATTTTCGCTATCAAAATATGGAGGAAGCCTTGTCTTTGCGAAAGACTTTAAAGGTTCCAGATATCAGGCTGCGCGCCAACCATTGACTGCTGAATGAATTTTGGTGTCATAGGTAATTTTCCGGGAAGACGGTGAGGAGGGATAGGCACCATGCAACTCTGCTTCCGATGCATTCTATTGCTATCTTAGTGCACTGGAAAAAAGAAAAAAAAAAAGTTTGTCATAACTTAGCTGCGTCTCCTACACTTATCACCGTTCTACCTTCAACATTTTATATATTAACGATTTGTCTTTCCTATGCTTAGGCGAGATCGAGGACTTGGGAAAACACACACCTCATTACCAAGGACTACATTTGGAAAAAACCCTCAATTTTTCAGTCTTTGGCGGCTAAAGTCATGACGAGACGATAAGGTACGGCGGACGCAAAAACAAAGAGATACACTTGCCTAACTACTTTTTTAATCTCTCCAACGTGAAGTGTTCATTCGTTTTACTTATCGGCTGCCAATAATATGAAAATCTGAGCTATGGAAATGTCAGTACTCGCTTGTGAATGACTCGTGCGCGAGAGAGACGGGATGGAGGTACGCTTCGTTGAAGTCAAAACGACTCAATTGCAGATAATGGCAAGTAGACTGTAGAAAAATATAATCATTATGTATCTGGAGTGACAGTGCTTAACCGGGTGAAGTGGCAGATTTGTGCGTAAAAGACTTTTGCTTCTGTATTTGGAGGAGAGCGAGGCGTCCTCATAAATGAACTGTGTCAAGTTTTGCGTGCGTCTTTTGGTGGTAAAGTACTCTCTCTGTATCATATCATTTAGTGCCAATACTTTGGGCCTTTCTTCATTACGATATGGGCGCAGAAGTCGTACAGTCGGTAGTTTATTATTTAATTTTGACGAAGCAGAATTGTGGCAATTTTTAATCCTTTTGCAGACGTTAAATAAACTGATTTTCTTTTAATTCATCACGATGGTGTTTTATTGATGTTTGTTAGACCGATCTCCAATGAACTTTGACATATCCTTCATGTATGTAAACAATCTCGCTGGGAGGGACTTTAAAAAGACACAGACAGAAAGATTCTTGCAAAGGCACTCAAAGTGCTTGAAAAACATTCACAAAGGCATCAAATCATAACATATCACAGAAATATCTAAAAAGAATGAAGAATAAATACAGATTTTAGCAGCCTAAACAGATTATTTTAACCTTGATTTGAACCTGTGTATTGTTTTAGTAGAAGACGTTCCACATTTTAGCTGCATAGTAAGCTAAGTAATCTTTATTATATAGAGAAATTTGTACAAACCAAGTCACCCACAAAGCGCTTTATGAATGATCCGAGTTAAGATATTTTCCATTCTCTGCACACAGTGAAGATGTGAACACCATTCAATCTCTCATTACATACAGATTTTTGGTATAAAGAGAAAAAAAGCAAGGTTTTTAGCGGTAGAGATAACCGTGCCACCCAGAGGGAATTAGGAGCATGACACGGGAAAACATTCCAAACTCCACACTTTAAGGCCAGGAGTGGAATCAAACCCAGGACCATTCTTACCGAGAAGCACTCTAACCTAGCTTGCCCTTCAGTTACCTCACACCAAATGTTCTATTTCAGGATAATGAGACAAAGTGAATCTCAGAGAAATCTAAAGTTAAGGCAAGTTTATTCAGCACAGATCAAACTTATAATTGATGCTCAAGTAATACATTTAGTTTCCAATTTGGCTCAAAAACATCACTAAAGCTAGTTATAGTCACGCGAGCTACGGTGGAACGTGACGTCCAATTGACCAACGCAAGGATCACCGCCAGACCCATAATGTACCTGCCAGGTCCCTCAAACATTGCTGACTACGTATGCCGCCGCCCGTGCAGAGAAGCTCCACTGGGGATTGGTCTGTTTGTGGTTTGGACGGAAGCATGTAGCGGCTGCAGGAGCATGACAAAGGCACATTCGATTCACTCTTCGTGCTTCGATGGAAAATCAGATATTGGGTTCATGGCTCATAGCCTGATATACGCGGAGACAGTGGACTTGATCAGTTCTGTTGCATAATCTAAAATAATCCAACTTAATAACAGATAGGCATTCGTTTCACTGCTCTGTTCCTGTCATTGTTTTGACATCGTAGCTTGTTCCATCCCTCCTCACATTGAACAATAGTTCATGTTTTTCTCAATATTAACCACATATGTTTTGCTATTATGTGCACGCATAACCCTTTAATATTAACAGTGTACCAACAAGACAAGACATTAATCACAGCATCACATTTAAATTAGTTATGAGTCCAATAACAAGTCCATAGATACACAGTAAAATTCTCAAACAGCTCGCATGTTTTATGTTCCGAAGAGTGAGAAAGAAGCAGCGTAAAGGACCTCTTTGGTTCTCAGGCAACACCTGTGAAATCGCCCTCAGTGGTTGGGTGTTTGGGATTATACACTAGCAGTAAGGGTCCAACAAGGCAGCTCAAATTAAAAGTTAATAATTATGAATGTTTGTTATCGTCCAACCCTAAAACATTTAATAGCTGCACCTTTTAAATCCACCTGTGCCCTTTTTGACTGTGTGAATCAAATAATCAATATATATTTGTAGAACGCACCAAAGGGAACTGTGTGGTTTGACTTAAGGACCAGAATGTATCGCTGGTAAATTAGTCTGTGCAAAAAACAGCTTATGTATAAATCAAATCATTGCGATTATCTGCAATCCGAATCTACTAATCCAGTTCTCAAACTCCTCAAAACAAAGAAAATCTGTCAATTCTTGCAGAAAAGCAAGAATCCACAACTGTGATAAGCACACTGCCTTTTACGCCCTGATTGCTCCTTTGACTAGGTACATTGAAGTTGAAACCCTAATTGAGACAAAGGGCCGGCAGAGGTGATTTTTAGTGAACTGCAGGACTGGTTTTTCTACGCAGTCAAAGAACGTGTGACCAGAGAGTTCAAACAGAAACACACAACACAGCGCACGAAAGACCTGACTCAGCGCGCTCGAATGGTGTCCAGCGACCGTCCAAAGTGTGGCCGACCGACAGGTGGCCGCGTCGTTATCTCTGAGCCGAGGATCACGGATGTAGCATGAAACTGAAAAAACTGTGTGTGAGGATTAACCTTCAGATTGGATCATGTAATTATAAGACAGGTTATTTTGATTAATAAATAATTCATTCCCTCCAAAATTGTGATAAACTAACTACAAATAGCCACAGCTGCCCCTGGGCACACGACAAGAGCGAGCAATTATTAACTACCAACATTCCCCTCCCACCACCAACCACCAACCGATCACGTACACACACCAAACTCATTTTTAATGTGTGGGGGGGGGACACACAACAGATCCTGACCTCCTCTTTAACCTCAACCATCCTCGGATCGTCGAGACGCATCAAAGTCTGGGTGACCTTCCGAGCTAAGGGTAAACGACTACTTCATTATTACTGAACTTTTCGCTGGCTGTAGATCCAGGACTGAAGCTGTAGATCCAGGACTGAGGTTGTAGATCCAGGACTGAGGCTGTAGATCCAGGACTGAGGCTGTAGATCCAGGACTGAGGCTGTAGATCCAGGACTGAGGCTGTAGATCCAGGCTATTGTCAGACCTCATTCCAAGGACCACAATGATTCCCTCTCCAAATTGAAAAAGCACGTTCTGTATACAAACGTTCAGGACATATCCAATCCATTTTCTGTAACAAAATGGGCTTGTCCTCAGGTTTCTGTCTTTTTGACCCATTTTGTGTACAACATGCAAACTCCATGAAACAGTCTTCCTGAAAATATGTTCTATTTAGCTGAGCATACAACTGAAAGATTTTGTCTCCACTCTATTTGTCATGATTTCGATGCCATGTGTGATGTGCTTCTTATCTTACATTATTTTGTTAAGCAGTTGTTTTGCGTTGAAACTGTGCCATACAAATAAACGTGTCTTTGCTTGCCGTGCCACATTTGTAAACTATTACGGATTCAAACATTTTGTAATTCGCTCTTTTCAACACAGACACAAATGAAACCCGGCTTGCTACATCGAAATACTACTCAGAGTTCACCTGTGCTTGCCCTCGGCCTCGTACTATTTTAAGTTGATCCATTTGGTGTTTGAGGCCATTTTACAGCTGCCTGTTTCTCCAAACTTTAACTCTCCTCACAAACAAAACACCTAAAACTCCTTTTCAAAATATTGACCTGATCGTAGGCTGATGCTGTGATGTACTTTGGCAGAACACGCAAATCTTTCTGGGAGACTTCTCCATAAAACACAATGGGACTAAGATGATTTACCTCTTAAATACATTTACATAAGGATTTTTCAGCAGATTTAAAACATGGGAACGCTGTTGAGAGCTGGATCTGATTGGATGACGTTCAATGAACAACATTTGGAGACGGTAGTGGAGGAGAATGTGCCTCCATCCATCAGTGGACTGGGTCAACACCGTGTCTCTGGAGATCACATTTGGAGCGTATTTGTTCGAGCTAATCTATGGGAGGTTTAAAATACTCCAGAATATATTACTGTACTTTTATTTGCCTTGTATAGTTTTTTG